TTATTAAAATTTAATATATTTTCAGACTGGACAAATCATTTAAAAATAAAAATAAAATATATATTTTAAAATACTTCCCTTTTTAGGAGAGATTAAAATTAAATTTTATTAATTTTATCGTAAAATAATAATAATCATGAGTTTAATTCAATAAATGATAAATATGAATTCAATTTGTTGGTTAAATTAAAAAAAAAAAAAAAAAACAAACAAACAATAAATCTACAATTTTTCAAATTTGTATTAGTCATTTTCTTGAGTGTGGCATAAATCATTAATTTTTTCAATTTTATATCTAAAAAATCTTATACCTATTCTAACTTTTTTTTTTAATTTATTATATTACTCTAAGCAAAATTGAAAGTTTGGTAATCTACCAATTCCAATTCGAATGAACAAAACTTGAAAGATAGTTGACCAAATGATAATTTAATTAACTTTCATTCGTTAAGATTAAGCCAAAATTTGAGCAATGTTAAGAAAATTATTATGTTACATTGTTATTTAGCACTGGTAGTGATGAACGAGCTATGCTCAATATAAATTTTGAATATGATTATATGTCTGCCAAGAATGGTGGATCAGAAAATCAGTGTTCAAATGAATTTCTCTACCTTCACTCACATTTTCGATCGTATTCTGAAGAACGAGTGCCTTCCTTCTGCAACAATTTCTCCAGTCGTTTTGTTCTTAATAATCACACTGGCTCCATTGTAACGCTCTTTCTGCCCTAACAGCCTCGACGTTATTTCCAATTCATCCTGCAATTTTCACAAACAATTTAGATTTCATTGTTCTTGCTTGTTTGTTTTAGGGCTCGTGAAGTGAATCTGAGTAGCAGAAGAGAGGATAATACGTACATCGACATCGGCGGTCGAGAAGTATGCGATCGAAATGTCCACAGAAACCAGCGTCGGTGGGGGCTCATCGTAGATTACGGCGCTGCCAATTTCATCGACTAGGTTTGCGATCGCACCTGAAGCCAGCTTCCCCGATCGATCCTGAAACGACAAATCGATGACAAGAGGCGTTGCAATTAAGGAAAATAAAAGCACTCCCCACAGATTTCGAACTCGATTGAACAATACGATACGAATTCAAGCGTTCCGAGAAAATTTTCCATCGAGTAATTTGATTTCGGTTTCGATTTAGATCGAGTGATTTGAGTGCTTAATTTGAAAAATCAGCCTCTCCTCTTTCTTCATCGAGTGATTCGCTCGCAGAATAACAGATCGTCAATCGATTTCGCAGCGTTTTCATCAGAATTCAGAAATACCTCCAAAATTAGGGCAAATAAATAGCGAAGGATCTAACAGTCTAAAAGAGAGTTGAGTGTTCTTACTGTGAGGCGCGGGGGGACCTTGAGAGTACAAACGATGAGTCCTGGTTCGACGCGATTGACTCGGATGCCTCTGAAAGAGAAGAACGTGTAGAAGCAAGAATCTCCGGCAATATTCGGCCGGCCGTCGAGTTTCTCGACGGCGTCCGATTCCTCCGGAGTCAATTCCAAAAGCTGCTTCGCCTTCTCCATGGTTTCCTTTTCACCTCTCGTCTTCGATCTTGGCTATCAGAATAGGTCAGATTCATTGAATTATCCAGTGCGACGCAGGAGCATGAGGGTTTGGTGCTCCACCAATTAAAACAATTGATATCGCACGCGCCTCCGAATGGACGGTGGATCCTTATTTTCGGGATGGACAGTTTCTTGTTTGGACGTCCGACGCAGAAAGATTCGAGGAATCCCATGAAAAGCATGTGAATAATCAATTTATATATATATATATTTAAAAATTTTAAAAATAAAATCGAAAAAAATAATTGCAATAAAAAAATAATTAAAGATATAGAGAGCAAACAAAAATGGCATAAACAATAATTGACATAAAAAACCAAGCGAGGTGGGTTAATTGTCAATTCCCAATCCAACTCCTTCAAGTTTTTTTGTTGTGGCTCTCAAGTTGTTGAACAACCCGATGACCGGATAGCCAAGTTCCAAATCGCCATTATCATTCTTGCCTACCCACCGAACCCCAAAAAACAAGACGGTTGTAGGTCCACACGTACACACCCCTCTAAGATCCTTTCAATTAACCCTAGTGTTCTCTCTATTTACAAATCACCCCGATTTTAATATCTATTGAAATATATTATTTATAGAATATATCTTATATATTATATCTTAATATTTTCATTTGATTTATCGTATATTTTAATTTATTTTTAATATTTAATTAATTTATATTTTACTTGTATTTTAATATTAATTTAAAAAACATCAATATCAATGAGAATAAACCGCTCTGATTTCAATTCTATTTCTATTTCTCGTTACCCCATTTTTGTTATTAATTGAAATAATTTAATTAGGGTAAAAATAAAATCTATAAAGTTTTAATTTCTACCCTCAATTTCACTAAATTTAATTTTCGAATTTAACAATGGTATGATAATTAGTATTTTATCCACTGAATCATGTTATATAAGCTTAGTTTGACAGTAACGGACATATTAAGAGACTAAAATGAGAAAAAAAAAATCTTTTTTTGAACGTTTCAGTGGCACACGTTTGAAAAATGAGAACATTGCTCGGGAATGAAACTATTTTAAAGTTAAAGCGTTCAACGTCTCGTACTTTATATTTAATTTTATCTACTAAAAATGAAGATAATTAATGTATTTATTACATAAATGTACCGCGGAAATAAGACGATAATAATGGGGATACAATAATATGCGTTGAACGGATATTATTTTAATAAAATAAATAAAGGTATGGATGTAATAGAAGCGAGTGAGAGGCACGCGCGTAGGGATTACAGACCTAGAGGGTGGGGAAGAGAAGGCTATGGGATTTTAGTGGTAAAAGAAATTATTATTAATTAAGCAATTGAGAGAGGGTTTAGTGAGGGTTTCTTCGGAGCTTACTTTTGTTTTTCCGTTTCTTCACTCTCTCCTTTTTGTTTCTAACTACTTCTTCTTCTTCGGCTTCGGCTTCTCTTCGTTTTTTCGATCTTGATGGCTATGCGCCATGAGAGTATTTTGTATCTTCAGCTATGAATCTGCAGAACAAAGCTGTTTCTCATCGGCTTTCTAGTTGTCGCCGGCATCCTAGTGAGCCGGTGACTGGATTCTGTGCCTCCTGCCTCCGAGAACGCCTTGCTGGGATTGATTCCGATACGCGGCAGGAATCGCCTGTTTTGAACCAGCATTCTACGTCTGAGCTCCGGCGGAGTAAATCTTTTTCTGCGGCGAAGCGTGAGGCCGGCATCGGACGACCGGAGGTGCAGCATCGGAAGTCGTGCGATGCTCGCTCTGGTAATTCGTTGTCGGACCTTTTCTGTCGGGAAGATAAGCCGAGATGTACGAATCGGGAGGTGGAGATCGAGTCTGAGAATTTAGGTTTTGAATTGCGTGAGGTTGTGGCGAAGGAGAGGCAATTTAGGGCTTCTGAGGGGGTAATTGGACCGGCTCTGGATATAATCGACGATTTTTCTGGAGAGGATGCTGAGTTCAAGACGATGAAGGAGTTTATAGATCTTGAATTTCGGAGGAAGAAGAATGCTGGTCGCGATTTAAGAGAAATTGCAGGGAGTGTCTGGGAAGCGGCTTCAGTCTTCAGCAAGAAACTCGGAAAATGGAGGAAAAAGCAGAAAATGAAGAATCTCGGTAATGATACCGATGTAGGTGCGGCGAAGACAGAGGCTATCAAGCCGAGAGTGCTTGAAGTTAGGGAGACTCGTTCCGAGGTTGGAGAATACGGATTGGGAAGAAGGTCTTGTGATACAGATCCAAGATTCTCTGTCGATGCAGGTAGAATGTCGCTGGATGACTCACGGTATTCGTTCGATGAGCCAAGGGCTTCTTGGGATGGGTATCTGATTGGAAGAACTCATCCAAGACCTACGCCGATGGTTTCAGTTTTGGAGGAGACCAAATTACCTGGGATTGGATTTGAGAAAGACGATCCTTCTGATGAAGCAGAAGGATCTCCGATGAATGTAGGCGAAAAGATCCCTGGTGGATCGGCTCAGACTAAAGATTACTATATGGATTCATTGTCTACTGTAAGGCGGAGGAAGAGTTTCGATCGTTCAAGTTCACACAAAAAAGGGGCCTCAGCGGATTTCGATGACTTGAAATTAATATCAAACGCAAAGGTATCTCCTGCAACTACAGAGTTGTTCTATGGTGCAAAGGTGCTAATTACAGAGAAAGATTTGAAGGACTCCCACTCAAAAGCAACCAGAGATGGCGATTTGAGTGGCACCAATATTACTTCAAAAGATTCTGTTCCTGATGCGGCTGGGATTGATCGAAAGACGTTCAAAAAGGTGCATAGATGGCGTAAAGTGTTGAGTGTTTTGGGTATGTTGCAGAAGCGAAGTGGTGAGAGCAGCAAGTCTGATGATGAAGAAAGCTGTGTTGGTGGAAATGTGGTTGATCGGCCTTTTGCCGCCGAGTCATGGGAGAAGCTAAGGCGTGTTGCTAATGGGGAAGCAAACGGTTCTGTTAGCCAGAAGCTCATTCGTAGCTACAGCGTTAGCTGTAGAGATCCCAGCAAGCTAGCTGGGTTTAATGGCGGTGGCAACGATTCGAAACTGTACGGTTTGAGGCGAAGAGACGATTTTACATTGCAGAGGAATCGGAGTGCCAGGTATTCCCCAAATAACTTTGATAATGGCTTATTAAGGTTCTATTTGACACCATTGAGAAGCTACAACAGAGGCAAACCAGGAAAGAGCAGGCCAAGAAGCTCTCCTTTCAATGTCAAACATCCCACGTAAAAAGGTGCACCACTTCTTCTTCTTCCATTAAAGCTTGTACTGTAAACATTCTATAAATTGGTTGTTCTCGTTCCTCAGATAAAACTTATGTTCTTATTACGAGCTGGATAAAGCTTGAAAATTGAAATCAATTTCAGTTCTTAATTGCCTAGTTGTTTAGGTCGCTCCAATCAATTTTTAGAACTTATCCAGGTATGAACTTTTGACTCTTGTTTCAATATGAGTAGGGCAAACAACTAAATACAGAATAAAGAGGAGGATGTTTTACATTATTCTTTCTACATGAATCAGCGAACTGTTCCAATGGGTCTCTTATACTTGTACCACTTGGCTATGAAAAGGAAAGCAATCAAATTTTTGATACTCAAGATCACCAAGAGAAAGAAGAAATATTGTATATGACCGTAGTTCAAGTTGTCTGGTATCCATCCAAGCCTCCCATCTTTAGTGCTGACTTTGGTGACGATAGTCACGAGTAGAGAGCTTAGGTAGTTTCCAAGTGCAATGGTAGTAAGCGAGAGAGCGGAGCAGAGACTTCTCATGGCGTCGGGAGCTTGCTCGTAAAAGAACTCCAATTGGCCTATTAAGGTAAATACTTCAGCACAACCAATAAGAAAATACTGAGGAACTTGCCAGAAGATGGACATTGGCATCTTTTCGAGTAGATAATAGTCGTTCTTTCTCACTTCTCGAAGTCTCACAAGCTCTAAGATTGCTGCAGATAGCATAGCTAGAATTGAAATAAATAGGCCAATGCCCATTCTCTGCAGTTGAGTTATACTGTTTGGATGACCTGTGTATTTTCGAGCCACTGGAACTATGATTCGATCATAAATCGGGACCCAAAAGATCACGCTCAAAGTGTCGAAAATGGAGAGGGATGCTGCTGGGATCTCAAAGTTGGGGCCAATATGAGCATCCATTTTATCACCTTGCAACACAAATAAATTGCCCATCTGACTATATACAGCAGCAAATAAAATCCCAGTTGCCCAAACTGGAAGCAACCTTATGATGGCCTTTAGCTCCTCCACTTGAGTGACAGTGCAAAGCCTCCACGGATTTACTGAGCCCTTTAACATCTGATCTGATTCGATCTCCACTGCTGCCTTGTCAAAGAACCTGAATTCAAACAAAATGGGTATGAGTAGCTCTTAAGAAGTGCTTCAAGGCAGGGTTTTCAGTTTTAAAATCGAACCTGAAATCATCGGTGTGGTCGAGTTTGCGGCTTCCTACGATAGAAGACTCAGAATCAGCAGTCTCGTACAAAGCCTTGCTTTCAGGTACTTTCACCTTATATTTTCTAAACGATGCCACCATGACCTGAGATATCCGTGTAAAAGGACTTCCTCCAGGTTTCTGGTTCCGAAACAACCGAGTCCCCGAAAAGAAACTTGCCACCGCAATCGCCATAGCTATGGCTGGAATACCAAACCCCCAAGCCCAACTCACATTATCTTGCACCCAAACAAGCACAGAACTTGCTATAAGAGCACCAACATTGATTGAAAGATAGAACCAATTAAAGAAAGAGCTCTTATGCTTCTTCTCAGTTTCATTAGCATCATCAAATTGATCAGCTCCGTAAGACGAAACACAAGGCTTAATCCCACCAGTTCCCAATGCAATCAAGTACAAAGCCACAAAACACACCGCACTTTGTGCAGTCGTCGCTTGACAATCATCTTTAGCAACACATGTGGGCTTCAAACCATGAACTGAAGCTGACAATGTCAAAAGTGTCATCCCCTGCAAATATATCACAATTTCCCATTGAAGCTTAAACTCTCAAACACCAATTCCGGAGTCAGATTCAAATTCACTTCTTAGTTTAGAGTATATGTTTTAACTTAGTTGAGCTACACGATCAAATTAGTATCAATAGATCTCTATCGTATCAATAGATCTCTATCTTCTACAAGTTTCCGAGAGAAAACTCACAAGAACATAGATGATGGAGAAGGTAGCAATAGTTCGATATCTTCCCAAGTAGGCATCAGCCAGAAAAGCTCCAATCAAGGGAGTAATGTAGCAGGTTCCACTCCAATTAGCCACATTCTTAACAGCGGTAGCACTGTGCTGATTCAAATGTTTCTTAAAGTAGAGCACTAAGTTCGTGCTCATTCCATAGTAAGCCAATCTCTCACAAAATTCATTGCCTATTCATTCAAGAATCAACAAGTAAATTTCAGAAGCCATAGAAATCATCAGTTCAATTCCATATGAAAACTCATCGACCTAACTTTTCCAGAACAGAAAAACTACCCAAAATATAGGGACAGGCCTTCCAGGTTCCTGTTTGGCTTCTAATCGCAGGATCTCCACGGTAGTCCACCGTTCCATCTTGCGTGTAAATACTATCCTCTTCCTCCATGGTTAGGTTTCAGAATCTCCAAGAATCAGACAGAGATCAAACGAAATTTCAGAAACGAGAAAATAGCTCGTCGTTTCGAAGATTCATTTCCTTACCTAACAGATTTGGGGGAAAATGAAGATACCTAAATGGAGAATCGCATCCAGAACGAACCGACGGGACAGGAAAAGCAATTTGCAGAGATTTGTATGGAATTTTGAAAAGCAATAAGTGGAAGATAATGAGTAGTGACCTTAGTCTTAGAGAGTCGAGGCGTTCAAACTTGGAATGAGAAACAAGGAGAAGTGGTGGGACCTATGAACCGCATCACTGGGGACTCCATTACTGAGCTTTTGATCAAGAACTCGGTTTCGGCAATTAGGCATTTGTTTATATCTTGAATTGGCGGCGATGGCTAAAAAAACGCTGTGGAAGATTCGAAACCGAGGGACTGACGAACGGTTCAAGGAGTTCATCGCTAGCCATTAGGACATCTTAAACCAGAGCTTCAACATAATTTTCATTTTGACTAAATTAAATTACTATTTATTCCTAGGATTTGGAAATTCGCAATTTTATTCCTAAAACTTTACAAATAATTCTAAATAATTACCTAAAATAATGGATAAATTATTAAAAAATCATTCAACTGTGATATGTTTTGGAATTTCCCTTCTATATAATTCAAGCCATGATTGATATCGTTTATGTGTCATTATGGATGAATAAATAAAACAAGATACAAGTCGCAATCGTTTACCACTTAGCCACAAATTCTTCTTCAATAATTACACAAAAATATAGTTCTTTTAGTTTCTTTCACATAAATATATATTATTTTATTTCAAAACTGTCATCACCTTTCCTTTTACTTTTCAATATTACTTTTGAAAAGTTCATGAGTATTTTTTAAACATGCTACTAGCGATAAATAGTATTTTTTTTAAACGTGCTACTAACGACAAAGAATATTTTTTAATATTTTTTAATGAATGGTGTTTGAAATTTTTAAAAAATTATAAAGGTATTAATAAAACTTATTTTTAAACCCAAATTTAAAGGTATTTTTGGTTAATGTATTTTTGGTTAAACGAGTCCCATTTGAGCCCAACAATGATTCTTTTATTATGGGCTTTCCATTATCTGGCCCAATATTGCACATATTGGATGAAATAGCCTATAATTATGTTTTTTTTTTTTTTTTTTTTTTTNGGCTTTCCATTATCTGGCCCAATATTGCACATATTGGATGAAATAGCCTATAATTTTTTTTTTTTTTTTTTTTTTTTGTTCATACTCCGTCTCCTCCATCCAGACCGCTCGAATCCCACGAGTAAACAGAAAGTTGAATTTACCAGATCGTTCATTTGAAAAAATTAAAACTTTTCTTATTGAATGATCACAATAATCATATGGCAAATTACGATGTCAAAAATTAAAAATAATTATTTGCATATACAAAGTCTCGTGCTGATTTGATCTTATCCAATCACAATAATATATGAAAATTTTCAATTTGATTTAAAAATACGAAAATAATTTAATTTTTATCCCAACTTTAATTTAAATAAAATAATTTAAAATTTGCATACCAAATATTTAAAATAAAATATCCATAGCGTGAATATAAAGTAATATAGCTTACAATTTATTTAAAAGAAAATTGATATACTTAAATAATTTTTATTTATATGGATATTTAAAAAATGAAAGACCAAAAGAATTAATTATGTAATTTAATGGAATTAAAAAGAAAATAATGATTAAATCGCCAAGGTGGAGTTGGGCACACGTGGGAGGAGTCCATCACACGCTTCCCGGGAAGCCATTGAAATCTGAAATAACATTTTGTCTGACCCTTTTAAAACTTTGAGAAAAAGGAAACCGGAAAGGGGAATCTTTCCTTAAATAGAAAGGGCCCACACCCTATTTTTCTTTATTTTTTAAATAATATAATATTTAATAATTTGCATTAAAAAAAGACTCCTATATTTATTTATTTAATAACCTTTTTAAATGCCAACAACATTTCCAACTAAATACCCTTTTCCCCAATTTACCCCTTTCATACACCCAACAGACACATGCCAACCACATCACTACCCCCACAAAAAAAAAAAAAAAAAAAAAAAAAAAAAAAAAAAAAAAAAAAAA